TAAAAGTATTGGGGCTTCCCTTGTGGCTCAACTGGTAAAGAATTAGTCTGTGACGTGGGAGACCTGGGCTCCATCCCTACGTTGGGAAGATCCCCTAGAGAAGGGAAAGGCTACCCACTCCAGTATTCTGGTCTAGAGAATTCTAGGGACTGTATAGTCCATGGGGTCACAAAGAGCTGGACACAACTGAGTGACTTTCACTCACTTCACTTAAAAGTATTAAGAATCTCTTCATCTCTCTGAGGACACATTGGCTTATCCTCTTGGGCTTTGTCATGGAACCATGAACATGACCATATATAGCCTAAAGGTTGCATCCTTACAGCGTATGATCCAAGGGATGAAAAACTGAGACTTGAAACCAGATGGTCTGATGTCAGTAACCAAACGATATGGAAATAAAAAGGAAACCCGGGTGGTTGAGAAGAATTGAACCCACTCTACAGAATTATCTATAGGGCACAGTAATTAAGAATGTGGGCGTGACATAAACCCCAGCTGTTTCACTTGCTAGAGGTGTGACTGGGGAAGTAATTTAACTTCTCTGCCCTCATCTGTAATACAGGCATACCTCACTGTCCTCATCTGTAAGATAGTACTTATTTGTATGAGTTTGCTAGGGCTGCCATTATAAAATACTACAAGCTGGGTGGCTTAAACAACAGAAATGTATCTTCTCACAGTTCTGGAGGCTAGAAGTCCATGACCAAGGTGTCAGCAAGTTTGGTTTCTTCTGAAGCCCCTCAGAAGATGGCTTCTTTCTTTCTGTGTTCCCATGGCTATCATCTAGTCTGTCCTCAACTCCTCTTTTTATAAGGACACTTGTGAGACTGGATTAGAGCCCACTCATATCATCTCACTTTACCTTAACCACCTCATTAAAGGCCCTACTTCCAAATAGCCACCTTCTGAGATACTGGAAGTTAGGACTTGAACATACGAATTTGGGGGCAGGGAGGAGGGATACAATTTAGCCGATAACATGATCTCATAGGGTTATTGTGAAGATTAAATGAGGCAATATATTTAAAGCAAAAATCAGGAGAGCTAGAATGTTTTAAGTCCTTAATAACTGTTTTGTAACTGAATACTTACTTTAGGCATAAGGGTATCTATGAAGTCACAGATTTTCCTCTGCTAGGATATTGGCTAGAAATGTTCTGGGGGCTTTTCTCCAGGTGAAAATGTCCAGGTTCTCAGGCCAGGTTCATCTTTTCCTTATGGTCTATAGTTTCCAACTTCAGTCCACAACTGTTCTGCTGTCAAAGATACCCCACTCTTTGGTTGAAGCTGAAGTTCCAGCTCAACAAACTCAGTTGGAGGATAAAAACCTTTCTTGTAAACTGCAACAAATGACCTAGATATCATTCTCAACTATTTGGGTTGGTTTATGGGCCCACCCTTGAGCCAATCATTGTATCTTGAATAATGGAATATTCTCATTATCCAGGTCTGATCATTTGCCTGGCTCTAGAGAGGAGTGTGGGCTTCCCTGGTGGCTCAGATGGTAAAGCGTCTGCCTGCAATGCGGGAGACCCAGGTTCGATCCCTGGGTCAGGAAGATCCCCTGGAGAAGGAAATGGCAACCTACTCCAGTACTCTTACCTGGAAAATTCCATGGACAGAGGAGCCTGGTAGGCTACAGTCCATGGGGTCGCAAAGAGTCAGACATAACTGAGCAACTTCACTTTCACTTAAGAGAGGAGTGTGGTGATGATAGAGGATGAGTCTCACCAAATCCAGAAACTGAGTGAGGGGAAAGGAGTTTCTTTAAAGACAAAGGCAGTATGGGTGGCAGGCAGCTCTTTCCAGGGTGGGGTCAGTGTTCTGCCGAGCTAGACTAGAGCAACCAGTGAGGAGCTGGGACCCCATCTTAGCAAGAACTCTCAGTTCTTGCCTGGAGAGAGAATAGTAAGTGGACTTCTGTGATTTTTTTTTTTTTTGCCTGGAGTGCCTAGCTTGCCTCAGCAGGATAGGAAAAAAAAAAAGGGCAATAATTCATGGCAGGATAAGGAGAAAAGATGGAGTTTCTGGCTCCAGTAACTTATGTTCAGAATAGTGGCCATACCAGGAGCACCCACGGAAGAAGACTTCAAGGTGCCCTATGAGGATAACTTTCCTCCCTGCTCCTCCCAGCAGCTTCTATCTCCTCATGAAGCTGTATGCCTCAGAACGGCAGCGACCACATCTATTTTACCTGCCATCTTCTCCCCAAGGCCCAGCATAGTGCTGTGCTGGCACGCTACAGGAGCCTATCACATATTTATTGGGTAGGTTACAGAAAGTAATGAATCAGGTTGATCAGTTTAATCGGCAGTAAGGACTCACCTTTTTGTACAAGTCAATCCTCTTCTGGGCTCTGTTCTCCATCTGTCAAGTGGGAGAAGGTATGGAATGAGGCTCTCTTCACAACCCCTTCCGGCTCAATGTTTCTGGGATCTTAGGGTTCTCAGGAGACAGTCTGGATGCCTCTTCAAGGAACCAATGGAAGGGGAAACCAAATCGATTGAGCAAACTGTCTCAGGTGAAATGACTTCATGTGGGTCTGTGGTCCTCAAATTGTGGAGGACTGCACATAATTTTTTTTTTCTTAATTTGGAAACAACACTGCCTATCTATTATTTTGCCAAATTTGGACATTGAAGGGAAAAAATGCCATTAACTATCAACACCATTTCTTTAAAAAAGAGATTTTTTTTTAAATTCCAAGAAAGCAAGAAGTACATCATCTCAGCAAACAAACAAAAACCAACAACAACACAAAAACAACCAAAAGACCCACAAAAACCCACTCCCTCTCCCCATAGGAAAAAAGACAGGTAGCAATCTCACATGATGATGATTATTATTACTTTCTTTGTAGATAGTTCTAAATTTCATCAGACTGATCCCTGTGTATGGTCCAGTCCTTGGATCGTACTAACATTATTTTCACCACCCCTCAATACTTGTCAAGTGGGGCTTAATCTGCCCATTTTACAGATGGGGAAACAGAGGTTCAAAGAGCAAGTGCAAGATCAGGGAGACAGTAAGTAGTAGCCAGAGTTTTCTGGATGCCAACTTAGACCACCTTGGCAGAACCTAAACCAAAAGCTATTTCACAGCAGGGAAGAAATGACCTGCACTGGCCCACCTGGAACGCCCCCTCATGTTCTCAGGTCTAATCGTGAGTCTGGACCTGGATGCTTTGTCCTTTAACACACTACACGCTCATGATGTATCCACTTCATGTCAGGCACTGGGAAAGTGTAGGAAGACAAACCAGCCCAGCCTCCTTCTCTCCTGTTCCCCATACTCACCCCGGGTCCTGCTCTCCAGGCCTAACTCCTAATGCACTGGCGGCCAACGAATCCCCGCCCCGGGAATGGCTATTAACAGTTTTGGGGGGGGGGGTGGTCCCTCTCCCAGAGGTGTTGGCAGTTTCCTAGGAGCCTCTGGGAACTTTCAACGCCTCCAAGACCCAAAGAACTGGAGGTGTAATGGTGCAACTCGAGGCACTGGGATAGGCTTTACCTGAGTTAACTTGGGAGCCAGGGGTCAGTTCAAACTCTTATCAACTAATATCCTGCTCGGACCCTCCCTGGTTCCCATGAGCTTTGGGTGGGCCCAGCAACCCCACAGCTCGGGCTGGGAAAATGGGGTCCCCCAAATTAGAAGGCCTTACTGTGGAGGAGGCTCACTGCTCGGGCTTGGGGACTCCCAGGACCGTGCCTACCCCGCTCCCTGACTGGACTGCCAGAACGCGGAGCTCCCCTTTCCTGTTCCGCTCCGCCCCGCACGCCGGCTGCAGGAACGCGCAGGAACGCGCCTCCGTCGGGCCGCGCCGGTGCACGAGAGCTCGCGCCTCGGCGCGGGAGCGCGCCCCGGGGAGAACCCGAGCAAGATGGAGGCCGCGCGGAGGCCGCCGCCTGGGCCCGGCAAGCCGCCTCTGGGAGCGCAGAGTCGCGGCGCCTAGGCCGTGCCAGTCCCGGACCCGCCGCTCCGGACCGGGCCCAGGTTGGTCTCCCCGCACCCCCTCCCCCCGGCCGCAGCCTCCGCGCGCGTCCGGCCTGGGCGCGGGGCAGCCGCCCCCCACCCCCCACCCCCGGCCCTACTGGGGCCCGGCCGCTCCCCCGCGCCCCGGCGACGGCCCCCTGCTCCTTGCCCACTAACTAGCGGCCCAGGCTGCCCGCCGGCCCCGGTCCGTCGTCCCCTTGGCCTGGAAAACCTCTCTCCCTAGCCCTGGCGCGCCAAACCTAGGCTCCTCTCAGCCTCCATCCAGCCCTGTCTTCTGAGGGACCCTCCCAACCCCCCGCCCCGTCTTCAGACCCTGCAGTCCCGGTTCCCCGATGTTCCTCTAGCCTCATCCTGGTTCTTCCACTTCGCCCTCCCTGTCCCAGCCCCCATATCACCTTCCCAGTCCCCTAGTACTTGCCCCGTATATCCCCTTCTTACCCTCTCACGGAAGCGCCCACCTCCCTCTCCACAGACCCCTTTTAGACACCCAATGCCAGACCTCCTTTTACCCCTAATACCAACCCCCAAATTTCCTTCCGAGCTCCCTGTAAAACCCCTTAGCTAATTCTTCAGTACCGGACCCCAGCCTCCATTCCATCTCCCCACGTTCCCCTCTTACTCCGCCAATACTGGTCCCCAAGCCCCCTCCCCAACTCCACCATAACCACTTTCTAGCACTCCCCCCGCTCCCGTATTCTCATTCCAGCCCCCTCATCCCAGCCCCCCAACTTTCACATGGCCTCTTCCTAGGTCCCCGAATTGGAGATCTTTGCCAGTCTCCCCCTACCCCGACACCTCCCCAGTACTCTCATGACCCCCTCCTAGCTCCTCCATACCAGCCCCCAGGTCCACTCAGCTCCGCCTCAGGCCCCGCCCTCGCGGGTACCTTGGCTCAGGGCCGCTTCTCGCGTGCGTCCCCAGCTCCCGCCCGGCAGCCCGGCGGTCGGTCCCGGGCCGGCGGCCCCCGCTAGTCGCCGCCGCCGCCGGCCCCGCCCCCAGGCACCATGCTGCCCTCGCAGGAGGCCTCCAAGCTCTACCACGAGCACTACATGCGGAACTCGCGGGCCATCGGCGTGCTATGGGCCATCTTCACCATCTGCTTCGCCATCATCAACGTGGTGGTCTTCATCCAGCCCTACTGGGTGGGCGACAGCGTGAGCACCCCCAAACCTGGCTACTTCGGCCTCTTCCACTACTGTGTGGGCAGCGGGCTGGCGGGCCGAGAGCTCACCTGCCGCGGCTCGTTCACCGACTTCAGCACCATCCCGTCCGGCGCCTTCAAGGCGGCCGCCTTCTTCGTGCTGCTCTCCATGGTGCTGATCCTCGGCTGCATCACCTGCTTTGCGCTTTTCTTCTTCTGCAACACGGCCACGGTCTACAAGATCTGCGCCTGGATGCAGCTCTTGGCAGGTAGGGGAGGGCCGGGGGCGGGACCCCTAGAACAGACGCCGAGGACGGGGCTCCTTTCTTCCAAGACCCCTTTTTGAAGGAGTCAGAAATAGATTCTGCTCCTCTGTCTAAAGACACACCTCCTTCACTGACTCTCAATAGCCACTGGGGAGGGGATTCTATGAGAGAGACACGTTGGGGCAGAGGGCAGGCTTAGAGCAGAGTCTATAGGTTTGTGTGCTTGGATGCGGGAAGACTGCGTTTACTGATGTCTTAAGCATTTTGTCTGAGTGTCTGAGGGTCTCTGAGAGTCTCTTTTGGCTGTCTTAGGGGAAATAATTATCTGAATGACAAGTTACTCTATATGTGAGCGATTTCTGTTGCACTGAAAAAAAGCATGAGATGGGGAATCAAGAGGTCTGACTTTGACCTTTAACTTGCTTATGTTATCAACTTGGATGTTTACCTCTCTGAGGCTTGGTTTTCTCATCTGTAAAACAGTGGAGAAGACTTCAAATACTCATGAAAAAGTATTTTGTAAACTCTGAAGTGCCGTGAAAAGATGAGGGGGGTTGGAGAAGGCTGTCTATTGTGTCTATCCAGTGTTTGAAATGTCGGTGGTTAACAACACCTGGAAACATGGGTCTCTGGAGGGCAAGTCTTCAGCAGCCCCCCACCCCAAAGGCAGAAAGGGTTCTGGTGCCATGCCTAGTGAGAATGAGTCTCTGGGGACTCTCTGAAATGTTTGGCTAAGACAGACACCTTGCCCAAACGACCAGAGAATGGCCTTTTGAGAGTAGGAACTGCTGAGACAGTTTTCCAGGATCCATTAGAGACCCCCCTCCCCCCATCCCCGCCTACCTTTTGATCGAAGACAGATTTTGAAGATTCCTCAACTTGGGCATTTGCCTAATTGCAGGCAGGGAAGAGAGTTGGGCTGGGGAAAATGGGGCCAGGGTATGGCAGGGATATGAAGGAGGAAGACTGATGAAGATGTGGTGAAGGAAAAAGTTGAGAGCATTCCAGGGCTGAGAAAGAAGAGGGAAAATGTGATGATCATGCAGCTAAGATGGTGTTTAAAAATAAGCATCTCAGGATATTCAACAAGTGTCAGCCCCTTCAAAAGAGACCTCCTGTAGAAGGTGTTCTGTCACTTGCTGATGATTCCACTGCTTAAAACACGGTAGGGAATTGTCTTTGGTTTGTGAGGTATATGCTCTTGAACATTGTCATGGAGGGAAAACCACCATCTTTTCAAGGAGGTCTCTGGTTTTTGCAAATGGCCAAGTGTAGAAAACACAGGAGGTGATCAAATTGAGAATGGTCGCTGGAGATGAAAGTCGAGGTGTGAAAGCAAAATCAGGAGACTTGCTTGCCCAGGAGGACTGTTACAAATGCTTGGAGGAATTATAGGCTCATTGGAAGAACTAATCAAGCTCTCAAAAGGACTGCCTTGCCGAAGTCACCATTTATTCAGTATGTACATTCTGGTGGGCTTGTTTCAAGTCCATGTCACCCCAATCAACTTAGATGGAGGTCTTTTAAGATTCTGGGGAAAATGAGAAAGGAGAATTGTAGGATGTGTGTGTGGGGGTATTTGTCAATTCCCAGAAAGTGATTTCCATTCTACTCTTATAAGATGAGCCAGAAAGAATATAAACTCAGCTGGAACTCCCATTTCCTGAATCTTACTTTGTAGTCTGCAGATGGGTTGTTGACCTCTTGGTTTTCCAATTCTCTGTAATCCATATGGGTTTAATCTTGGGGATTTGATGAAATATGCAACAACCCCATGTAAATATAGAATTTCAGGGATCTGAGAAATCAGCTTCTTTGAACCCTGCCTTCTTCCACTCCTATCTTAGAGAGAGGAAACTGAGTCTGGGGAAGTGAAGGTCACACAGCCAGTAATAAAGTAAACTAGGTTTGACTCCTGGCCCAGTGCTCTTTCCCTTGTCTTACTGCCTCACTCCAAAGGTGGTTATCAGAGTTGAGCAGTTCATTCTATCTTACTTAGAGATTTCTGAGCTCTGGGTTAGTGATTGATTCACTTTGCTTCATAAAGGGCAGGGGCCGGAGCACTGGACTACTAGTCATGGAATTGTGCTGGGGTGTGTGTGTGTATCTTAGCTAATTCTGCCTGTGACCCACCATGCAGTGTTAAGCAACCATTTTTAGCTTAAATCTCAGTTTTCTCATCTGTACAATGGGGGACTAATCAGTCAGATTAGTGGATTTAAAATATATCTTTCAGCCATGTGGGGTTCCTAGAATAACTTTTTCACTAGGATCATTCTACTTAGAAAGGGAGAAATCAGTCATTCTCAGAGAAACCTCAGAGAAGAAGAGGACCTTGTTTGTATCACATAAGAAGTAGAGAGCCTTCTCTGGCAGTCCAGTGGTTAAGACTCTGTGCTCCTACTGCAAGCAGCATGGGTTCAATCCCTAGATCTTGCATACCATGCAGCAAAGTAAAAAAAAAAAAAAATTGAATGCCTGTTGTATAGTTTTTGTTCAAATGAACATTTACTCAGTTTTTTTGTTTGTTTTTGTTTTTGGCTGCACTATGAGGCATGTTGGATATTAGTTCTCCTTCTAAGGGTAAAACCCCTGCCCCCTGCATTGGGAACATGGAATCTTAACCACTGGCCCACCAGGGAAGTCCTTTTACTCAAGTATTTTAGAGTCTTCTGAGTGCAGAGCACTGGACCATTGGGAAAATACAAAGAGATACTTATTCCCTTGTGTATTTCTCACTTGCTCAGTGATCATCCCTCTGCTAGGTGTGCAACACTGAGATCAACTCTGACCTCAAGGCTCCTAAGTCTATAAAGCACAATCTCTGCTCACAGGAAGCTTACCATCTAGCTGAATCACTATATTGGTCACCAGTCTCTCAGTGAAGTGACAGACCCCAACTCAAGCTGACTTAAGTAAATTAAAATAAGGTAAAGGGGGGTAGATATTGCAGATGACACCACCCTTATGGCAGAAAGCAAAGAACTAAAGAGCCTCTTGATGAAAGAGAAAGAGGAGAGTGGAAAAGTTGGCTTAAAACTCAATTCAGAAAACTAACATCATGGCATCCGGTCCCATCATTTTGTGGTGAATAGATGGGGAAACAATGAAAACAGTGACAGACTTTATTTTCTTGGGCTCCAAAATCACTGTAGATGGTGACTGCAGCCATAAAATTAAAAGACTCTTGCTCCTTGGAAGAAAAGCTATGACCAACCTAGATAGCATATTAAAAAGCAGAGACATTACTTTGCCAACAAAGGTCCGTCTAGTCAAAGCTATGGCTTTTCCAGTAGTCATGTGGATGTGAGAGTTGGACTATAAAGAAAGCTGAGTGCCAAAGGATTGATGCCTTTGAACTGTGGTGCTGGAGAAGGCTTTTGAGAGTCCCTTGGACTTCAAGGAGATCCAACCAGTCAGTTCTAAAGGAAATCAGTCATGAATATTCATTGAAAGGACTGATGCTGAAGCTGAAACTCCAATACTTTGGCCACCTGATGCAAAGAACTGACTCACTAGAAAAGACCCTGATGCTGGGAATGATTGAAGGCGGGAGGAGAAGGGGACAGTAGAGGATGAGGTGGTTGGATGGCATCACCGACTCAATGGACATGAGTTTGAGTAAGCTCCAGGAGTTGGTGATGGACAGGGAAGCCTGGTGTGCTGCAGTCCATGGGGTTGCAAAGAGTCGGACATGACTAAGCAACTGAACTGAACTGAACTGAAAGAGGGTAGTGATTTTGGCTCACATACATTAATAGTCAGGAGTGCTGGCTTCAGGCATGGATGGATCCAGATGCTCAAATAATGTCATTAAAAGTAAGTCTCTCTCCATTTCCTGATTTCCCTCTGTTGGCTTATTGTTAAGTTCACTTCTCTTTTGAAGGTGATAAGTATGGCTACCAGCAGCTCTGAATTTACATTGCTTCAACTTAGCAATGCCTGTGGACAAAAGAACACTTGTTATTCAGTGGTTGCAGAAAAAGTTCCAGGGCTCATTCTGATTGGCTCAGCTTTGGTCAAGTGTCTGCCTTTTAACTAATCAGTGAGACTTTGTCTAAGGTCTCGCTACGTGCCCATTCCTGGGACACATGAACTGATAGGGGAGAAAGAAATTCCCACGCAGGAAAATCAGGTGTGACCACTGGAGGAGAGGTACTGTAGATTAGACAGTTGCAGACAGAAACCTCACTCTGGACAGTCTGAGCACTAATATGTGCTCAACCTTAGGTGCTGTGGAAACCCAGGGCAATTGAGGAGGCTGCTGGCTTATTTATGAGGTGAAGCTTGAGTAGGGCTGGGTGTGGCCAGATGTGAGGTTTGAGAGAGCATTCTGAATGGAGAGGAAGATCATGGGTGGAGAGACAGAGGGGAGAAAGCCACATCTGGCTTGAGTGTGGACTTCACTTAGGGGAGCAGCAAGGAGCAAGGCCAAGAAGGAATGATGGGGCTCCAGTGTGCGAGGCTCTGAGTACTGGGTCAGAAATTTTAGATTTTAATCAGCAGGTAGTTCAAAGCTATGACCGCTGTTATTCTTCAGGAAAAAACAGCTAACAATTTCTGAGCCTTTATTATATGCTTGACCACATGCTAAACATTTACACGCATACTATTACTGACGCCTCACACCGTCCTATGGAGCAGGTACCCTAATGAATATTTCATAGGTGAGAACACTGAGCCTTGGAAAGGAGAGTCATTTGTCCAAGGTCATACAGTGGGTAAGCGGTCAAGCCAGAATTGTAACCCTGTCTGACTAACTTGAAAGCTCAAGGATTTATGAAGGATTTATAAAGGAACATTCAGGATGGGAATAAAGACAGGATGAATTTGCCAGAAGAGTCGAATGCTAAGTGGAAAGACTGGGAGATTCAGGTGGCTCTTTGTGGAGTGAGGCGTCAGCTTTTCAGGCCTTGTCAGAATCTCTCTGCTGTGCTTTATCTGGTCTTTCCCATTTACGAGGTGCTAGCCATTTTCACATTCATTATGTCATTTGCTCTTCA